GCTTTGTTCATTTCTTGCAGACGTTTCATTAACCACTAGCTAACATCATTACTTATCTATCAGCAAACCCCACACTCACTAGCACTGATGATGCTACCTAGTTTGGTAATTAAACATCTGCCGAGAACACAACCAAGAGAGCACCAAGAGTACAGAGAGTAAAATCCGATTCCGGTTGCTTGCAGATTGTTAAGCTCTATTCAAGAGGCTTGCAGTTATTTCTAGGAGATTGGTTTTTAAGGAGTTTAACGACAGCCTCTCATCCTTAAGATTATGAAAAGCAACGCAGTCACACCAATTCTTGGCTACTGAATCACAAGCAAATGCTGGACCCCCACATTCTTCCCACCATTAACATCCCTCCTCTCCACCCACCCAACCCAAATAACTGAGAAGGCATATCTTTCCCCCATTGTTTGTTTATTTATTTTAACGAGAAGCTCCAAGGTGTGCAGATGGGATGGCAAATAAATAAATAAATAAATAAATAAATAGAGCCTTGGCCCTGCCAAGGTTGCTGAGAGGGGCTGGATGAGATTTCAGCATGAACAATGGATCCCCCTCCCCCCCAAAAAAGGCAAGATCCTGAAGGGATCAGGTAATTGCACATCCGCAAGGAAGCCCGTGGCTCTTCTGATTCTGTTGTTTTGGCCAGTGGGTCAAGAAACGTCCCCGCAAATGTGAATAAAACTTTCCCACGATATATTTCCCACAAAATCCGAGGGGCCGTTGAAAAACCCTACTTCGCATTTACGTTCTAGGCTAACATTTCTCAAGCTGGACCGTTTCAAGAGGGCTGGAGTTCCAACTCCCAGAATTCCCCAGCCAGGCTTATGGCTCGTGTCCATGCCAAGAGCAACAAACCAGGGCTTACTTAACCATGAATCAACCAGGATTGCATCATGCCCAGTAAACATCTAACTACAAAGATGTCAACCCCCTTCGGCATTAGTGCAAACTGATAAAAGAGTCATCACTGAGAATTGGGCAACATATAAATTATCAGTATAAATCAATGGTTCTCCATCTCAGTGTAGGACAGTGTTTCTCAACCTTGACAATTTTAAGGCATGTGGACTTCAACTCCCAGAATTCCACAGCCAGCAATGCTGGCTGTGGAATTCTGGGAGTTGAAGTCCACATGCCTTAAAATTGTCAAGGTTGAGAAACACTGGTGTAGGAGATGAGTAGGTTGAACCCAAGGGGTGGGGCATTCTGGGAGTTGGAGTCCACCCCTCTTAAAGGTAGCCGAGGCTGAGCAAAGCCGATGCAAATCGAAGAAGAACCAATAAAATCGAATAAAAACCCATTAAAATTCATCCTCGGCTCAGAACCCAGCGGAGAGGGAAAGCCACGTGCGCCTCTCCGCCGCGCAGGCGCTTTGCAGTCGTCCCCGGGGATTTTTTGCCCCCTCCCGCTGCGCATGCGCCGCGCCGGCCTCTTGAGAGACGCAAGATGGCGGCGGCCGAGAGGGAGGCCTGTGAGGCGGCGGCCAAAGAGGCCGAGGAGCAGCGTGAGGGCCCCGGCCTGGCCCCGGCCCCGGCCCCGCTCGGCCTGACGGAGCTGCCCGGCGAGCTGCTGGAGCTCATCTTGTGCTGCGGCTCCCTGGGCGCCGCCGACCTGGCCCGCCTGGCCTGCACCTGCCGCCACCTGAGGGAGGCCTGCCAGCCCCGCGGGAAGGTCTGGCGGGAGCAGCTGCGGCGCAGGTGGGCGGGCAGGGTGCCTCTGGGCGTGGGCAGAGCGCTGGGGAAGAGCAGGCCGGCCGGGGGTGGGAGCTTCCGGGTTCCGCCGCAGGGTGTCTGGGCATGTGCAGAGCGCAGGGGTAGAGGAAGGGGTTACTCCCAATCAGGAGGAATTTCCGGTTTTTGCACCGACCAGGGTGTCTGAGCATGTGCAGAGCGCAGGGATAGAGGAGGTGCTACTTCCGGGGTTTGCACCACTTGTGCACCAGGGTGTCTGGGCATATGCAGAGCGCAGGGGTAGAGGACGGGGTTACTCCCAATCAGGAGGAATTTCCGGTTTTTGCACCGACCAGGGTGTCTGGGCATGTGCAGATCGCAGGGGTAGAGAGGGGTTACTCCCAACCAGGAGGAACTTCCGGGTTTTGCACCACTTGTGCACCAGGGTATCTGGGCATGTGCAGAGTGCAGGGGTAGAGGACGGGGATACTTGGAAACAGGAGGAACTTCCGGGTTTCCGGGCATGGCCAGGAACAGAGCAACGAGGCTTCTGAGCATGGGCAGAGGGCTGGGGGCAAGGAGGAGGGATGGAATCCCAGCTAGGATGAGCTTCTGGGTTTGCAGCACAGGAGGCATCTGGGTGTCAGGTTGTGAAGGGATGCCTCTGGGCATGTGCAAAGAGCCTGGGGCAAGGAGGAGGGATCTGAACGAATTGTCATAACTTGAGGACCTGCCCGGACAAATCAAAATTCTGTTCCTAAACAAAAGGATGTGTCGGGCATGGCCTCCCCCTCACTCTTACCTGCTGTGGTTGTGATTGTACAATCCTGGGCTGCATTCAGTAGGACATTTGGACTTTGGAACCCCCCTCCCCAGGATAGATGACCCCCCCACCTGCCCCCAGCCACTTTTAAAAAATCTTTTGCGTGCTTCATTTTTTAGTTATTCAGAGATTAGAATGGCTCAATCCTGTTGGCCTTTTTCAAGGCTTTCAAAACTTGGCTGTGTATTCACGCCTGGAGCTAAAAATGTGTTATTTGGCCTGACTGTTAGTTGATTAATCATCATGGCTGCTGTTTGTGGATGTTTTTACTGTTTTAATGTCTTTTTTAAATTGTTTTATAATTTTAGAATTGTAAACTGCCCAGAGTCACTTGTTGAGTTGGGCAGCTATAGAAATTGAATGGATGGATGGATGGATGAATCATACATACATACATACATACATACATACATACATACATACATGTATACTGCCATGCTGGGTTATCATTTATCTAGCTGTGACTTCAAAAAATCCTAGTTAAAAATTTAGAATGCTTTTATCCATCCTCTTTCATAAGCATCTGGTTGTCCTTGCTTATGTTAAAACTTTTTTTTATTGTTATTATTTTACTATCTGGAGTTGACAAAAGGCAGCGTTTGTGAGGAATGCTTCCAATAACTGACCTTGCCATTCTGTTGTTTTTTTTTTTGTTGTTTTTGTATCTGCTTGCTTTCATCTCTGCCTTATGCAGTTCCTTTTCAGTGATAGATGAATTTAGTGGCACGAAGGCCAGCCAGTGCCAAATGACTCTTTGCCTGGAATATGGTCCGGCTACATTATTATTGCAACTGTTTATTTTAGGCCAGCGGCTAGGGAATAATTCCTCCAACTGAATGTGCAGGAGAGGATTTAAAGCCCTCCGATGGTAATTACTTAAAATGGAGCCTGGCCCAAAGGAACAGGGTCAATAACTTTTCGCTTGCCAGGAAGTCTCACGTTCAAAGCAATGGCTGCTTTTGGAAGACAGCCCTCTATTATCGCCAGCCCACATGGTTGGATCTGAATCTTTGGATGGTCCAATTTGGCTGCTGGCACGCTGAAGCCGATCCCTGAATCGCGGACGCGGCTTGGAAGCAAACTCAGAGTTTTAGCTTGCTGAACTCGATGATGGTTCGGCCTCTTCTGCAGGTGCAGACGGAATATCTGCTTCCTTTGAACTGTTCAGTCGGAGTTTTATAAGCCAACTGGCAGTTGGAAAAAGGGGAGAGGGGAAAAAAAAAAGCTTGTCTTCCCTTGCCAAGACATGAACAAAGCCGGCAAACTTCGCCTTCTCCCTGGAAGAGAAAATTTGCATATGTCTCTTTCCAGCTCTCTTGTCATTATTGACTCTGCAAGTGTGAATGCAAATGCTTGCAAATTGTACTTTGCTCTCCAGCAGGGGAAGAAAGAGAGATCAGTAAAAGTAAAAACAATATGTTGTGTGGCATCATTGCAAATTTCTGTAGTTTATTTGAGTTGTCTATGGAGATTCTCCGTCAATCCAGGTCATGGTTGTCCCAAAGGTGCTTTTTCAAGACGTTTCGCTTCTCATCCAAGAAGCTTCTTCAATTCTGACTAGCTTTATTTGAGATGCATCCTTTTATTTATGAAAAAAACGCTTATGTGGCCATCCAAATTGAATCATGCATCATTAGCCCGAGGACCTGAGTCATAAATAAGTTAAGCGGAATTTGCGGCATTAGATGACTTTAATCCAATGATTTCTTTCAAAACATTCACATAGTATGGCAAATAAATTGGATAATATTCATTCAGTCACATCTGTATATATGGCCCTTCTTCCCCTTTGACTGAGCCATTATAGTGGTTTTGAGGCACCAGTGCACTTTTGAATGAATGGCTTCCCTAGTTGAAGGAAAAGGAAGAAGCCGTCGGTGGCTGCAGCAGAATAATGTCATTAAGCTGTTTATTTTTATGTAATTAGAAGGTTCTGTCATTGAGGAGGATATGGTGGGTCTGTTGCGGATTGGGATTCCCAAAATAACAGCTCTGCAGAGCTCAGCGGAAGAGGATTGTTTCCATACTAAGCCATTTGTTCAGGATCAGCAGCCAAGTTTGAAAAATTCCCCATCTTCCCCCCCCTCTCCTGCTCACCCAAATTCAGTGGACATTCTGCTGCAGTGTTTCTCAATCTTGGCGACTTTAAGATGCGTGGACTTCAAACTCCCAGAATTCCCCAGCCAGCATGCTGGCTGGGGAATTCTGGGAGTTGAAGTCCACGCATCTTAAAGCTGTCGTGGTTCAGAAACACCGCTCTATTACATTTCTTTGGGTAGATGGGCAACTACCTAAATTTGTTCAATTTTTTTTTTTTTTAAAAAATGTCTCTACAGCAAATCTAAAATAAATGGGTAAAAGACATTTCCCCCTTAATTTGCTAACACAGCCCAAGCTTGGTTTGGTCTGCCCAAACGTTAGCATTTGGTTCAGATTTTTTAACTGCCGTGTGGCGACTGGAGATGAATTTCCATACGGTTTGTCTTCCTCTGACGCAGGTGGCCCTCTTTAATGAAATACTATAATCAGGCAGACAGTGTGAATTGGCTGGAGGAATACAAAGAACGGCATAAAGCGGGATTGAAAGCCCAAACGATCGTCGCCTCGTTTTCCAAAAGGTTCTTTTCAGAGCACGTAAGATTTTTCTGGTTGATCTTGCCAATAAAGTCAATGTGTTGTTGTTATTTGTTGGTACAGCATGCTGGCTGGGGGATTCTGGGACTTGAAGCCCACCCATCTTAAAGTTGCCAAGATTGAAAAAACCCTGGTCTAAGCAGTGATTCTTCCACCTGTCTTTCCAAGGCTGTTCCCACAGCTCTTACATCTGGAGATAAAGTGGAGGTTGTTTTACCTGGAGCTCCTGGGTACCAAATTTAAGAATAATCACATTCCAAGAATGCAGGTTGTCCTCAACTTATGACCATTTTTCAACAACCAAGGGCCTCCCCCCCTCCCGCCCCCAAGGAACCACATAATGACTGCAATGGGGAGATGCAGGACTGTGTGAGGTCACCTTGCTTAATGACCACAATAGCTTATGATCATAATTCTGGGTTCAGCTGTGGTTGTAAGTCAAGGACTACCTGTAATTGTTTTTTTAAAAAAATAGGCATACACCCCATGAATCAAAGTAAAGGTTTCCCCCCCCCCCCAAAAAAAACCCATGGAAACTGCCCCACACAAAATAATTTAAGCAGCTTTGCTTCAAACTCTCAACAGGCTTCATTGGGCCTCGGAGAAGTCAAATCTGCTATAGTGGTTGCATCTTGCTCAACAAGTGGTCCCTTTTCCTTTTAAAAACAACGAACCAGTCAAACAGCTCCAGGTGAAACTGTGTCTGATTCTTCTTGAGGTTGTTACAGAAAGCTTCTTTAGCAGTGAGATCATTGCCCTGTTTTTCCATTTAGGTGCCCTGCGATGGCTTCACTGATATTGAGATTCTTGATTGCCCCAGCCATTTCTTTGAGGATGAGCTGATGTCCATTCTTAATACAGCAGGCAGGTGAGGCTGACTCTAAACCCTAGGAAAGAACATTGGGCTGTTCCTTCAGGGTGCATAGCATAGACATCGACTTTACGTTTTAAATTACACCTGTGTCCTGCCTGTTCCCCAAGGAGCTCAAGGCCAGCCCACCTATCTTGCTAACAAACCTTTGAGGTAGATTCAGCTGAAAAGTCACCTTACGAGCATTAAGAATTCATCTGGATCAGGGGTCTTCAAACTTGGCCCTTTGATGACTTGTGGACTTCAACTCCCAGAATTCCTCAGCCAGGCACGTGTGCCTGGCTGAGGAATTCTGGGAGTTGAAGTCCACAAGTCATAAAAGGGCCATGTTTGAAGACCCCTGATCTATATATCACTATATACATACATACATACATACATACATATCACTATATATCTCGTACTCGTAACCTTTAACTGCGTGAAATGATGCATCGCAGGGCAACAATTTTTGAACCAAGGTACCTCGAATGACTTGACATACAGAATGCATCCAAAATCCGGGACCCATGACTCTCATTTGGCAAATTTTATAAAACATTTTATAACGTACAAACGATGATAAAACATTTTATGACACCATACAAAATGTTGTAAAAGGTTTCCTTTTGATCGGGCTGCCCAGTTCAACAGGGGCTACTTTCAAGGCAGACACATCTCTGACTGTCTGCTTGAATTTTTAAGAATTGTTCCAGTATATTAGAAGCTCTGCCGTTGTTGAAGGCATTGAGAATCTGGTAAGAATCTATCTCTGAAAGGATGAGCCAAGGAGTGACAATTTGGATTGGATCTAACCACTTTCAAGCTAAATATCTAAACGGAAACTTTTCACACATGTATTTGTGAAAATAGTTCAGATCTGTAGCTCCCAAATCTGCAGGGTGGGATTTAAACGGAACTGTAATTCCGTTTTTAAACGGAACTGTAATTCTGTGGTAGTGCAGTGGTTAGAAGGCGGTATTGCAGGCTAACTCTGCCGACTGCCAGCAGTTTGATCCTGACCGGCTCAAGGTTGACTCAGCCTTCCATCCTTCCAAGGTCGGTAAAACCAGGACCCAGATTGCTGGGGGCAAGAGGCTGACTTTGTAAACCACTTAGACAGGGCTGCAAAGCAGTGTGAAGGGGTATATAAGTCTTAAGTGCTATTGTTATTTTCTGTAAGTTTCTTATCATAAGATGATATCGTGATCCAAGATGAATTTACCTTTATAAACAACAACAACAAAATGCTAATATTTTAATAAAAACCTGTTTTTTTCCCTCTGGCCTCTTGATTGGCTTTCTTGTTTTATGCCTAAAATCACTTTTAAGGATTCCGCTTTACAATCATAGTCTGTTTTCAACTCTTCTGGGTGTTTTAGATATTTTTTTAAATTATCAAATCTCTCTGCTACCTATCTTGCTAAGGTGACTCACCACAGTGGTTTCTTTTACTCTGCAGGAAAGGGCTGACCTGGAAGTACTATGCAAAGAAAATTCTTTACTTCCTGCGGCAACAGAACATTTTAAAGAAATTGAAGACTTATCTGGAGTACCCAGCAGATGAGCAATCCTTTTTAGAAGGTTCGTAATGTCCCAGAAAGTTTGACATGGACACAGTGTAATATTTGTAAGACTATAAGACACATTTGCAGGAAGCAACGTAATTAAAGAATTGTAACAAAGTAAGACACACAAAAAATAAGACAGGAGGGTTGTTTAAAGGAATGGGAGATTAGCATAGATGATTCTGAAACAGAAGAGGAAAGAAATTCCAGAGAAGAGCAGTGAAAAAGACAAGTCCTTCAGTAAAAAAAATGACCCTGTTAAAATTTTTAGATGTTAAAATATATCCATTTGATCTCCGTTTTCACACTGAGGTTGGGCAGCCAACTCTGATTCAGTGTTTCTCCAACACAGCCAGTTTAAGATATTGGGATGCTGGCTGGAGAATTCTGGGAGTTGAAGTCTACACATCGTAAACTGGTTGAGGTCGAAAAACACTGCTCTAGTTTTGATTTCATGCCCCTAAATTAGTGGGACCTTCACCTAAATGTAGGATTCTATCATTCTGTGTAAAAATGATGTTTCTACTCAGGATTGTAGTCTGCCCTCCCAAACCCACGCCCTGGATCTCTCCTGTCTTTATCCAGGCGCTGTGCTGATTGACCAATACTGTAACCCTTTGTCGGACATCACACTCAAGAGTATCCAAGCTCAGATTGACGACATCGCTGCTAAAGTTTGTAAATTTCTCAAATCCAGAAACCCCAGACATCCCACTGTGGATCGAAAAGCAGGTATGGTATGAAGTTCTCTTGGGTCAACTTTTTCTGTGGTAGACCTGTGGAAACCCATCCAACTGTGGCAGGCACTCTTGACAACAAATGTTGGACTTGACTCATCAATAAATTTAACCCATCCATGAGTAACTTGGGCTCTAGAGATCAACTTGCCTTGGGTGGATAGTTAACTCCCACAGTTCCCCAACCCGTGTGGTCGTGGCTGAGCATTCTAAGATTTGGGAAGTCCACAGATCTGAAGTTGGAATAATACAGTTGTCATTCCAGCAGTTGTCATTCAGCCACACCTGAAGAACATAGGTTGCACACCTCTGATTTAGTCTCTAATGCAGGAGTCTTCAAACTTGGCCCTTTTATGACTTGTGGACTTCAACTCCCAGAATTCTACGTTCCTGGCTGAGGAATTCTGGGAATTGAAGTCCACAAGTCATAAAAGGGCCAAGTTTGAAGACCCCTGCCCTAATGTCTCTATCTTCTGCTAGTTGTGTGAAAAAATAGGAAGAGGAAAGGTTACATGCTCCAAAGGGAGACTAATGAACAATTTGCACTTGTTAGTTTAAACCAATAAACCAAATGAGACGATGTGGTGGAAACTCCATCCCTTTATTTTATTTCTTTATTACTTTTTTATGCTGCCAAAAGGTATCTTTTGGGACCCATCATTCTCTTTATCAGCCTGACCAGCCTTGCTGAGAAAACTTGGGGGAGGAGGTGACAACTCTTAATGGAAGAAAGATGAGGTACAAAGAAATAAGAATATTCCTCTCTCTTATTTTCATGGCCTTCCTGTTTTTTTGTTTTTTTGTTTTGAAGAAGAGGTCTTGGTAGTCCCTCAGGTGGAGCTTCAGGGGCAGGTTCTCGATGCCATGAACTGCGTCCTCTACGAGCAGCTGAAATACCGAGGAAACGAGGTGGATTATTACAATTGTCAGAATTCATACATCCATCAGGTAAGGCGTTTTCTTTCACCAGACAAGGACGTATTTTTAGTCTAGTTTGGAATATTGTTCAGTTGGATGGACACGTAGTCCTTGACTTATAACCAGTCACTTAACAATTCTTCCAAGTACCAACACACCTACTTGGGCTACTCACAACCCGGGTTCAAAGTTCTCACGGTCACATGCCGTCTCCCGCGGTCACGTTTGTGAATGCTCAGCAGCCAGCTTTCATTTACAGCTCCATTATGGCCGTAACTCGATGACTATAATATCCTGAAACCTATTGGCACAAAATTTACGCAGTTCAGCTTCCCCAAGCATACTAATTCCGGGGACTCGATCTTCCCTCTGTTTTTAGCATATATATATATATATTAAAATCCAGTTCCAAGGAGCAACCAAGACTACTCGTTCTTCTCTCTTTCCTTCAGGTTTTGATTCGCAGGACCGGAATCCCGATCAGCTTGTCGGTGCTGTATTTGACCATTGCCAAGCAGTTGGGCGTCCAGCTTGAGGCGGTCAATTTCCCCAGTCACTTTCTGCTCAGGTGGTGCCAGGGAATAGAAGGGTAAAGCTTTATTTTTATTTATTTTTCCCCCCTCCCCTCCACTTCTGCGCGGTCCCTCCCCGGCTAGCAAGAGGGGAGACTATCTCCGTCAACGCTGCCTTGAAACATCCCATGTTGCCATTCTGCGGTTTGGCCGTGCCAGACAATGAAGTCATAGTTTAAAAAAAAAAAAAGTGAGGGGGTATAATGTGTTTTCTTCCATGAAAGAAAAACGGCGGCGCTCATTTCGAAGACCCTGTTACTTAGTAATGGAGAAATCCGTCATCGCAAGCATCGTCCTACACAGTCTCATTAACTCCGGGAGGAGATGTTGGCGTGGGAACAGAAAGCGATCAATCCACCCTCCCGGGGCGCTCTCGATGTTACAGGCTGATGAGGGCACAGCTGTCTGGAAGGGTGGGGGGAAAAAGCAGATTTCCCCGCCAATGAAACAGCTTTTCACTCGCAGGCCGCTCGTGATGCTTTCAGAATCCTATTGATTCTCTTTAACGTTTAAGTGGCGCCATTTCCCACCCTCCAGCGTCGTGGCAGGAGACGGAGCCTCGCCTCTCCCCCCCCTCCCCTCGGTGTTTTGCAAAAGCTCCATTTAAGCTTCCAAAGGGGGCTGCAAAGTAGTCCAGGAGTACTAGCTCTGTCTTTGTCGCGAGGCAGGCTGGCTGAGGAATTCTGGGAGTTGAAGTCCCCAAGTCTTAAAAAGTTGCCAAGTTTGAAGGCCCCTGTTGTAAGGCTGCGTTAACAGAACTCACGACCACGATTTGACTCCCGGATTTCTGTGGCTAAACGAGACAGCGGTGAAGTGAGTGTGTGCCTCATTTTACGACCTTTCTCGCCACAGTTGTTAAGTCTATTGCTGCAGTTTTTTAAGATAGTCACGCCGTTGTTAAGTGAATCTGGATTCCCCTATTGATTTTGCTTGTCAGAAGGTCCCAAAAGAGGAATCACGTGACACCCCCCCCAGGGACCCCACAACCATCATAAATATATGCCAGTTACCAAGCATTCCAAATTTTGATCATACGACCGTGGGGATGCTGCAACAGTCATAAGTGTGAAAAACAGTCATAAGTCTCTTTTTTCAGAGCCGGGGTAACTTCGAACCGTCACTGAATGAACTGTTGTATATTGAGGACTAGCTGTATTTCTCTCCTCCTTTCCTTCTACTCTCTGGAAAACTAGGGAGGGTCCTGCCTAGCGCCAAAGGTGAGCAGAAGCATAAGGAGAAACAAATTCCCCTTTGGTTTCCTTTTTTTTTTTTTTGGTCAGGAGCGCAAATATATTTGACTACACATACATTGATGCTTTTGGGAAGGGGCGGCAGCTGACGGTTAAAGAATGTGAATACTTGATTGGGCACCACGTGACGGAGGAATTTTACGATGTGGCAACAGCCAAAGAGGTTCTGCAGCGAATGGTGGGAAACTTGCTAAATATTGGAAAGCGGTAAGAATCAGCAAAGATTGCATTAGCGTTTCCATTGCATTAGAGGAGGTCCAGATCCTCATTGACCATGGAGGTCCAGCTTCCCATTGATCATGAAGGTCCAGGTCCCCATTGACCATGGAGGCCCAGGTCCTCATTGATCATGAAGGTCCAAGTCCCCATTGACCATGAAGGCCCAGATCCTCATTGATCATGAAGGTCCAAGTCCCCATTGACCATGGAGGCCCAGGTCCTCATTGATCATGAAGGTCCAAGTCCCCATTGACCATGGAGGTCCAAGTCCCCATTGACCATGGAGGTCCAGGTCCCCAGATGAGCATGGAGGTCCAAATTATTGACCATGGAGGTCCAGGTCCACACTGACCATGGAGGTCCAGGTCCCCATTGACCATGGAGGTCCAGGTCCCCACATGACCATGGAAGTCCAAGTCCCCATTGACCATGGAGGCCCAGGTCCTCATTGATCATGAAGGTCCAAGTCCCCATTGACCATGGAGGTCCAGGTCCACATTGATCTTGGAGGTCCAGATCCATATTTCCTGACTGTGAGAACAATTATCCAGTGGAACGACTTGCCTCCAGAAGTTGTGAGTGCTCCACTGCTGGAGGCTTTCAAGAAGAGACTGGATAGCCATTTGTCTGGAACAGTATAGAGTGGAGGCCCTATACTGTTCCAGACAATCAGCTGTCCAGTCTCTTCTCAAAAGCCTCCAATGAGCAGGGGGTTGGATCAGAAGACCCTTCCAGCTCCGTTATTCTGTTATCGTTATAGAACATGGAAGGATGATTAGAAAAGGCAGCAAGACTTCAGCTAACCCTTGAAAGAAACTTCAAAACAGTAGCAGTCGTTTGACAGTGAAAGAAAAGAACAGTTGTATCATAGCTCTTGACCACCAGCAATATATAAGCAACAACGTGAATTATGAATTTGATGCAAGATCTGGGTTGGTGACTTCTGTGGTGAAGGACAGGTCAGCTAACTGTGTAGTTAATTGGCGGTGGGGCATCGCAGCTAGGTGAGGGTAAATGTAATGTATGAAAACATGACATTGAACGTGTTGGCGCCTGTTTGCTAGGGAAAGCACTGACCAGTCATACCAGCTCCTGAGGGACTCTTTGGACTTGTATTTGGCCATGTATCCGGACAACGTCCAGCATCTAATGCTCCAAGCGAGACTCTATTTCCATCTTGGGATCTGGCCAGAGAAGGTACTTTGGATTCGTGTTACGTAGGTGAGGTAGCCGATACGTGAAGTAAAGAAAGAGATGGATGGATGATACTTCTCCTAAAGAGCTTGGTTGTCTCTCCTGCTGCTTTCTGTTCTCTTTTGGACAATTGGAGGATGTTGAACTCAACCACTTTGCATTTTTGATAGCCCCATTATGACCCCAGTACTGGCTTCTCTTAATTGGCCAAACTCCTACAACCCTTAAAACAGAGGTCTTCAAACTTGGCCTTTTTATGACTTGTGGACTTCAACTCCCAGAATTCCTCAGCCAGGCACGCGTGCCTGGCTGAGGAATTCTGGGAGTTGAAGTCCACAAGTCATAAAAGGGCCAAGTTTGAAGACTCCTGCCTTAAAATCATTGCTGGCAAGCATTGTCTGATAGAATTCTCACATACCTCCCCCCCCCATAGTCCTTTGTGGCTCCAAAGGACCTTTTTTATTTATTTATCTTGTTCAGTTTTTGAATGAGTTGTGTCACCCATCTGGATATTAGTCTCTGTATGGCTGCTTGTTTCATTGCTTTGATTTACTGCTGTTATTTTAGCCACTAGTTTTTCTGTAACTTTTTTTTTTAAACCTCCTGTTACCTTTTCTGTATAATTCAACTTTGTTTTTTCTTGCGGGGTGAGGATTTTTTTTTTTTTAATTAAAAGTTGCTTGATTGTATCTAGGTTGCTGAAAAAGCAAAAAAAAAAAAAAAGAGAGAGAGAGATTTCAGTTCTTGCTTATTTAACTTATCTTTTGGGGCTGTGCAATAACAATATTTTGTGTGTTTTAGTCTTTTAAGCGATCTTCAGAGGACAGTGTATCCTGAAAGGCAGTTTTTTTAAAAAAACACAAAAAACTACATAAATTCAGAGAAAGCTAGCTCGCTTTTGGACTAAAATAGTTTTCAAGACCTGTCTCTGAAATCAGAAAAATACAATTTCTCTCTCCCACTCTAATTACACCAAATGGGATAAAAAAAGGAGGAGGGGAAATCCTGGAATATTGGTTTAAGCTTCAGTGCATTCTATTATGATTAATATATTTGTTAATTAACTTACAAAAAGAGTGTGTGAAAAAGCAATACACATAATTGTCCCACCACTACAAGTAGTAGTCCTTGACTTGCAACTGATTGCTTAGTGATTGTTCAAAGTTACAATGGATCCCCCCCCAAAAAAAGGTACCTACAAATTTCTAGCTATTTGCAGTGTTCTGTGGTCATGTGACTGCAATTTACGGGGGGGGGGGGTTGCTGCAAATCAGTATTTACTTCTGGTTTATGGCAAACAAACCCCATCTGTTGTTGACAGTGGGTTTGCTTACTGAGTGCGGATTCATACTTAACGACCATGGTGATTTGTTTAATGACCACCCCAAAAACAATGATAAAATTGAATCAGTCGCACGGTAACCTGTTGTAACGACCGACACGGCTTACAGTTGTAATTCTGGGCTCAGTTACCTAAGTGGTAAGTCAACCAGGTTGCCCTTTGCTAAGTTCTGAAAGGATAAAATAAATATACCCTAGATTGGATATTAGCTAAGTGTTGCGTCGCAGGATGATTGATTGGGAGCTGTTCCGCTCACTCTGTTAAAGGTTCTGGACATCTTGCAGCACATCCAGGCCTTGGACCCCACCCAGCAAGGAGCTGTGGGGTATTTAGTTCAGCACACCCTGGAGCACATTGAGCGTCGGAAAGAAGAGGCTGGTCCCGATGTGAAGCTTCATTCCGACGAGAAACACAAAGACATCCTCTTTTCCGTCGGCTTGGTTATGAAACACAAAAGGTGAGGCCGGCCCCACCTGTCCACACTGTCCCAGCAGGATTCTGTAGCTGCAAAAGTAGGAATCATCGACATCTGTAGAGCCAAAGTATGGTACAAGATGGGCGGGTTTCGTCAGCCTTCCAAGGTGGACCAGTTCAGGAAACCACATGACCATGTGGGACTCTTGCTTTTTTGTTAGAGTAATAAGTAGAACGGTGTTTCTCAACCTTGGCGACTTTAAGATGGGTGGACTTCAACTCCCAGAATTCCCAAGCCAGATTTGCAGGCTGGGGAATTCTGGAAGTTGAAGTCCACCCATCTTAAAGTCGCCACGGTTGAGAAACATTGAAGTAGAATAATGACTTCCCAAATGGATTATCTCATCTCTCTCTCTCTCTCTCTCTCTCTCTCTCTCTCTCTCTCTCTCTCTCTCTCTCTCTCTCTCTCTCTCTCTCTCTCTCTCTCTCTCTCTCTCTGTGTGTGTGTGTCTGTGTCTGTCTGTCTGTCTGTCAACCATCTGTCTATTACCGCTCCATTGATGGCATTGTATCTCCTCTTTCTGCTTCAATTTAGATACGGCTACAACTGTGTGATCTATGGTTGGGACCCAGCGTGCATGATGGGACACGAATGGATCCGAAACATGAATGTCCACAGCCTGCCCCATGGTCCTCACCAGCCTTTCTACAATGTTTTGGTAGAAGATGGGTCGTGCCGATACGCTGCCCAAGGTAGGCAGGCAGTATTTCCAACAAGCTTAGTCATGGTTGCTTATCCACTATTTGAAAGAAATTGGATCTTGAAGGGAAAAAAATGAAGAGAGAGAGGAAAGAGAGAGAGAGAGAGAGAGAGAGAGAGAGAGAAATTGAATATTGAAATAAAACATAGTCCAGTGCAGGGTAGTTAATTAATATAAAGATTCCCTTTCAGTAAGCTATGCTCAGAATTAATAGGGTAGAGCTGGGAACATTTTGCTGAAGAGGTGACTTTCCTTACAAGACAGTGGCAGTTGCCCCATTTGCTTGCTCAGCAAATCAGGCTGGAAAACCTGAGGCTTCAAGGCTGTATTTTGCTCTTGAAGCAAAATTCCAATCACACATCCTGTAGACTCTTAAATTCTAAGACCTATAATCTCAAGAATTGACCTCAGACCCAGAAGCGAACAGATTCACTGTCATTCCACACATCAAATGGCTGTCCAGTCTCTTCTTAAAAACCTCCAGTGTTGGAGCATTCACCGCTTCTGGAGGCAGGTTGTTCCACTGGTTAATTGTTCTCACTTGTCAGGAAGTTTCTCCTTAGTTCTAGGTTGCTTCTCTCCTTGCTTAGTTTCCACCCGTTGTCCTGCCTTCTGGCGCTTTGGAGAATAGCTTGACTCCCTCTTCTTTGGGGCAGCCCCTGAGATATTGGAACACTTGATAGTGCTGGTGAAACTCCCACTAGCTCCCAGTCAACTGGTCGCCACAGTGCTGGTCTAAATGGAAATTCAGGACAGGACAGCTTCCTGAAGAACAAGCTTTAGTAGTGCTTGTGTGGGTTTTCACATAGGTGGGGCTCACAATAGCCATTGCGTCTTCCACAATAAGGCCGGCGCGAGAAGGAAACGCAATCTGCAAATTTCCTGTTATTTTTAGTTGTTTTGATCTTTATAGCTATTTAGGCTTAGAATAAATCATTTTCCCAGCAGAGGGCACTCTGTACAATCGCAGCTCGTGATTAGAAATAGTTTTTCTCAATTCTACCTCCCTTCCCTTCGCCCTCTTTTTGCCCCAATACTTTAAACCTGGTCTACAACTCAGCTTCGGTTATAGAGATATAAAAAAATTGCCCTCTCCAGGGAAATTACATCCAGGAATCTCACCAAAACACACAAGAGCACAAAGGCCTCGTGATCAAAGTTAAATCGGACAACCACGGCATAGAAACAGAGAGCAGAACATGAAATGTGTAAATATGCAGTCTTTTAAGGACACCGCACAAATGCAAAAAAAAAAAAAAAAGAGTAGCTTTTCAAGAATACGGAGATTTTGGCAGCTTTGCTTTTTTGTTCAGCATCTTCATTTCAAAGAACCGTTGAAGTTATTTCTCCCTTTTCCTTCCCTCTGCAGAGAATCTGGAACTCCACCCAGACCCTCACGAGATCCCTCACCCAGACATCGGCCGCTACTTCGAGGAGTTTGCCGGCACCTACTACGTGGCCAACCCAGAGTTGGAGATCCGATACCCCGAGGATATGGCGCTCACGCCTTTAGCTGGCCAGAAAACTGAAGAGAGCAAAGAATGAGACCTTTCCCCCAGCCATCCCCTTCCTCTTTGCAAGGACAGGGAAAAAAAAAACTTTGTGGTGAGAATTTCATCACGAGAAAGCTGCTGGTCTGAGGGGAACTGCATTTCGCTAGCTAGCAGTGAAACCTGGTGTTACGCAACCCCTCGATTGCGTTGTGTCGACACGTGGATCGTGCAAAGTTTAGAGACCTCCTCTGAAGGGACCTCACCAAATGAAGAACTTCTGAGACTTAAAAGTTCTTATCCTGGAAACTCTGAGTGACCTGCCTGATGGAAGCTGTGGATGGTTTCTAGTTAGGACTTCCTGGAACTAACACAATATCTGTCTTGGCTCAACTCTGACCAGCAACGAAGTGCCAAAACCTTAGGAACGACATGGATGCTCCCTTACTCAAAGATCTCATAGAAACACCGTCAGGATTTCTCTCCACTGCTTCAGAACAACAACTCAATTTTTTTCTTTAAAAAACAAACCCCTCCACTGGGTTGTTGTTTTTCCTGCAGGTTTCTTGTGTTCACATTCCAGCACGTGCGCGCGCACACACACACATACACAATGCCACCTTGGTGATGCTAGAGATGAGTACCATCCTCCTTTTGTTCTGCTTGTTTGCTTGTTTGCTCACTCCATAAAAAAAAGGATAAACAAGCTAAGCGGCGTATCTCTCAAACGTAACTCTGGGAGGAACAGAAAGCGCCGAAAGGACGTCGCATTAATGTCTAAAGATTTCTTTTCTCAGGGAAAAAAAAAAAGATCGGAGTCGGTTGATTTTTGCAAGCCGTCTGGCGGAAAGGACCGATCAGGCTTTCATCAGGCGTTGTAAAATAATAGGTTGCAAGGCTGTGGAGTGTGTAATTTCTAAATTGGGGTCTCTGAGCAGCAGAGTGCAGCTTGACACTCGCTGGAGTGCGTGCGTGTGGGAAGAGAAGGTAAGCTTTTAATCATCAGCGTTGTAAAGGATAAAATGATACGCTTCTGCGACCTTAGTCCTGAAGATTGCTGTTTTGTAGCGGTGAAATTGTTATTTTTCAGGATCGCCCTCCGTTTGCATGCTGTGTTTTTCATATCCTTTTCGGCAAGCGTGAAATTTAGGGTTAACCTACCGGGGACGGTCTTCAAACAGCTCAGAGGTTTGAGTTAAGAGTGTCGCACTGGGAACACGTGTGCACCCTTCAACATGCATGCAGGCAGTCCTCGACTGAATGGAGGCTGCCCCTTATAGTCATAAGTCATGATAAGACACATTCTGGAGAGAGTAGTACTCTGAGGATTTGCGCCAGCACAAGCCTAAAAGCTTGGAAGAATGAAGTTTCGGTCCCGGTGACCGACTCGGATTGGATCCTGCAATAAGTTGTCGTTGGTCATAAAGCGGGTCATCGCATTTTTACGGCCTCTTTTTTTGTGTGCTCTGCTCATTAATCAAATCATGGTTGTTTAAACGAGTCCATTGTTCGCGATGGGGCATTTTTGCTGAAAAACTGACGTACAGTAAATACTTGGTTTTCAGCAAATTGCAGCCGTGTGACACCCCCCCCTCCCCAGGATCCTGTAAATGATTGCTGAGCACCCCGAAATGCAGGCGCAGGGGAGGGACTTGGAACTTCAGAATCAGGATGTAAAACATTTTTAGGAGGCCCGGCGTAATTTTGAACAGTCGCTAAGCGACCGTTGTAAGTCGAGGACTACCTGGAGCTGAATCACTGGGGGTTGCATCAGACTGAGATAATTATCCCTCGCAACAGCAGCCGCCAACAGTGATTACCTCCCTGGAGGCAGGAGTCCGTGCTGACTCCCAGGCACAGGACAACGTCTGAATCGTCCCGGGAGATCCAGCGAAGATGACAACCGCCGATGCAGAGAAGTCTGACGGGGCGAGAAAAACCTACTTTAAAGGGAATTGCAGAAGCCAAATTGGAGGAACTAACCTATGCAGTTCCCTCAGCACCCCCCTCTTGTTGATTTGAGGGGTCTTAGCAATACAGAGTCCAAATTTTAGCAATAACACAGTCTCTCTTATTGATGCTGCAACTCAGAAGCGAACAATGAAGCTGCCTCAAACCGCAACCTTGATCCCGCAGCTGGCTGTGGATCCCTCTTATCCTTGGTCAGATAATCAGAGGTTTTTGCATTTTCCCACTTTGGATTGTTGTGGGTCTGGTGCATGCATGCCATACTCTTCTTCTTTTTTCTTCTGAACTCCTATTTCCCCCCCCCTCAAAAGCGCTTGGAACTTCTTCATCTGAAAGGTGCTATATAAATCTATCCCTCTCTCTCTATCCATCTATTTACCTTCAAGCATTTTGAAGATACTGGAAAAAAAGCAGAATTTGTACAGCCCCTCAATACCACCTGCAGTTTTGAACATAAACTGCACTATTTATTTTTAGGAGAGTTACAAATGTAGGGATATATGTTTCCCTCCCTCCCTCCCAGCACTTAATGGTATTTCTGGAATAAAACGACACCCTTTTCGGCTTGTAACTGTGCAATATTCTTTCTAATGTAAAGCCATTTCTTTTCCTGGGCGTTTTCTGTTCTCTGAGCTAGGCAGAAGTCAGTGGGAAGCCCTACTCCTAAAAACACTTGATAACTGGGATTACCAATTTATGAAATTTGAATCCACGGTAATTGTTAGGTTACCGTTTGAACTGACTGTCGCTGACTCTCAAAAAGTACTTTTTGAAATGATGTATAATGATATTTTTTTCTAAAGGAGAGAAAAGGGTTTTTTAGCTTCAAGCCAGTTTGGGATTAATTTCCTTTCTGCCTGCCTTTAATCAAATCGCAACTATTCTGGAAAAGCTCTCAGCTTTTCTCTCAAAAAGACAAGACATTTTGCACATTCCTAGAGGTGTTTTATTTTTTCTTAAATCGTACCATATTCCCCATCTGCACCCTGCTCCTGAAAATAAACTCTTTAAGTGTCCAAAACCCCTGGATTCCGTAATAGTAGCTAAATCTTCTTTATCCATAAAAATATTACACATTCCAGAGGGGGAAAAATTATAAAGAATTAAAAGTAAGACTGTTGTCTGATCTTTAAGGGTTATATTTGTTTATTGGGAAAATTTATATTGCCGCCTACTTGCTCATGGCGACTCAAGGCAGCTTGCAGGAAATAAAAACACAATATAAAAGAAAATAAAAATATTTATTTTGTAAAAATAAAAAATAATAACCCCCCACCACCACCCTGGCACTCATGCCAGCCATTTAATGGGCTCCATCCCTGTATGGGTTCCCCAGGCCAGCTTCAGGGCCTTCTGGAAGAGTGTCAAGAGTGGGGGCCGGTCTAATTTCCGGAGGGATGATGTTCCAGAGGGAGGGAGCCACCACGGAGAAGGCCCTTCTTGTGGATCCTGCCAGATGTATCTCCTTAGGGGACGGGATCCACAAGATATCTTGCCTCCCGGCTCTAGTGGGTCGGCTGGATGTGACCGGCAAGAGACACATACCTTGGGAAGTGAATTGCGTTGAGTTAAGGGGAACTTGCTCCCAAGCATATGAGCAAGTGCTTTACCAAGAAGAACGCAGAAAAAAGAAGAGCAGCCTGCTGTAGGAATGGACTACCTGTTTCAGCAGAGACCAGCCTGATGCCTCAAAATTCACGTTTCAGGTATGAAAGCCCCAGATTTTCCCTCTTGTTTTTCCTCTGTTGACATAATCTTATAATTGTGATGTCTATGGAGATTCTCAATCTTCCAGGTTACGGTTGTCCCAAAGGTGTGTTTTTTCAAAAAAGGCAACTGGACTTTTCCTGGGTTTTTTTTTTCCCCTTGAAAACATTTTGCTTCTAGTCCAGGAAGCTTCTCCAGTTCTGATTTCAGCACCTTTGGGATTATAATCGTGACAGTCCAACCATTGCAAACATACAATGTCGGTACCTTTGTATGCTGGGCTCATCTTCTCAGGATTAAATCAAGCTGCTGTATTTATTCATTCTGGATCTCAATTTCTGACAAGTCCCCTGCCAGATGCTTTCAGGGAACCACAAAGAAGGGCCTTGCACCCAGCTAACCATTTACTCTCCAAATAGCTTGTAATGGTGTTTAGCCCTCAAAGCAGATTGTTGCAGGTGAAGATGCCGTGATCTCAACTGGAACTGTAAGGCGAAGTTTGCAAACCAAGGAACACGTATGTTTGGGATGCATATTCATTCTCCTCTTGCACCCCAGCTGTTCCCAGATGCTGAAATCATCATTAGAGTGCGCTGCAGAAGGAGAGTCACTTAGGAGAAAAGGAGGGTGGGTTTCTGGGTGGGTGGGTGGTGGAAATTCATAACCAGCTTTGGAAATTTACTAGCAAGACCTGCAGAAGTGGCCATCCCAAGTTGCTTTTTTCTCCCAAGCCGAGCCGTGGACCGAAGCGGCTCATTTCAATGTCATTAAAATGGCTCGGAAATTAACGCTGACATTTCCTCGACACCCTCAAGTTCTGGTTGATGACAAGCTGAACGTGAGTCGGCAGCGAAATGCGGCTGCCAAAAAAAGCAACTCAACTTTCCAAACCATGGGAAGCAGTAAGCGTTCCCGCGCGTTCCCCATTTAACAGACCCAGTTCACAGTGCGGTGACCAATTTCTGAGCACAGCTTTTTTTCAGAAACCTTGGGAACAACTGGAAAGTGCGCTCAGAAAGTCATCGGAAATGCAGAAAGATTGAAGAAATGCCCTACGCTAAATAAATAAATGCAGAAAGACTGTCTAGAGAAAAGTCTAGAGAAAAGAAGGACTAGGGGTGACAGGATAGCAATATTCCAGTATTTGAGGGGCTGCCACAAAGAGGAGGGGGTGATTGGCCCAAAGTCACCCAGCTGGCTTTCATGCCTAAGGCAGGACTAGAACTCACAGTCTCCTGGTGATTGGCCCAAAGTCACGCAGCCGGCTTTCATGCCTAAGGCAGGACTAGAACTCACCGTCTCCTGGTGATTGGCCCAAAGTCACGCAGCCGGCTTTCATGCCTAAGGCAGGACTAGAACTCACCGTCTCCTGGTGATTGGCCCAAAGTCACCCAGCCAGCTTCCATGCCTAAGGCAGGACTAGAACTCACCGTCTCCTGCTTTTTAGTCTGGTGCCTTAATCACTAGGCCAAACTGCCTATCCTTCCTTCTATCGAGAAGCTACTTTGGAGTTACTATTCCAGCCTATTTGCCCACTAGACCTGGTTGAAGCTTTGCTCCAGCAGCCAAGAAATAAAACAGGAGCATTTGGAAGAGGAAAATAAATAAAATAAATATAACATCATCGTCATCATCATCATCATCATAGTTGTTGTTATTTTTATTATTTTAAAAAAGCTCCACTTACTCAGACTTAACAGCACTCTGATAAAAAAAAAAGAGAGTTTCAGAAAAAGACATTTAAAACCAGGTCAGGAAAACCCCTCCGTTCCTTTAAAAAGATGGAAGGCTTAGCTTCAACAGCTAGGGTTAATTGCCAGCCTCGTCCAGGAACACCTGTGAATTTTTGGGTCTTTCTGCAGCCATTTTATGTTCATTTTTTAATAGCAAATGTGTGCTTGGGCCTTGCTGTGCAGGCTTGGAGACTTTTGGAGGTGAGTTCCCTCAATTTTACTTTCTTTTGGGGGTGGTGAGGCTCTTAATGTGACTCTTTCTCAGTGGCCTTTTATGGAAACTGGCTGGGACAACATTAGCAGCATTTTGGGGGATTATTTGGAGCAAATTAAAGAGATGGGTTTATGGCTGGCCTGGGGGGAAAAATTGCAGTGTGAGGTGACTGTGTAAGGGGCAGGGTGTGTAGAGGTCTTTGGTCCCTGGGTGGTGTTTCTTTTGGTGCTGCTGTTAAGAAATGTGAGTTTTTGTGTTTGTTTGTTTATTTTCCCTTCTGAAACAATTGCTTTAATCCGTCCGGCTTTCTCAGCCAAGAAACTCAAAATGGCAGCCGGATTCCAGTTCCTTTGTTTTAGATTATTTATCCTCCCTTTGTTACTTTATGAGTAACTCCAGGTGGCAAACACACATAATGCTCCTTCCTTTTCCTATTTTCCTCACCACAACAGCCCTGTGAGGCAGGTTGGGCTGAGGGAGAGCGCCAGGCCCAAAGTCACCCATGTTCACGCCCAGGACGAAGGCGGCTCTAGAACTCACAGCTCCCTAGTTTTTAGCCCAGTCTGTTAGGCCAGACTGCCTCTGCCAATCTTTACTTTTACTTTTATTTTATTTTATT